TGGAAGTGACGAGAGAGCGCATATTCCGCATTGACTGTCCTGTGTAAGGTTGATGCTTATTATGAGATGATCAGGGACCTGGAGGAAACATTATGAAGCGCCTAAAATGAGGGTTGAATATGTCTGATATTATGTGCCCTAAACAGCATCTTGTTTTTGGAAAGATCCGTTTTTTTTTTTTTTTTTTGTATAAAATCATAAATTGGGTTAAATAAACCATCATAAGTTGTTTTAGTTGAATGACTAAAATCATGTTACAAGCCTATAAATTGACCTAAATGGGGTAAACTTGCTTTTTAGGGTTTTCGTTTTATATCAAAAGAATTTTTTTTTAAAGCAAAAATAACGATTGGCTACTTTACAGGGTAATCCCTCTCAACCTTCTCTGTAACTCTATGAACATACAACTACCCAGAGAGAGAATTTCTTTTCCGTACTCACTTTTTTCATTCTTTTTCTTGGCTTAGGCTTTCCACCAGCTGAGGCGGCCCTGGATTAAAAACAGTATTTGAATAATTTCTTTCAGCTTTCTTTCAAGTTCTCCTCTTCCACAAAGTGCTGTTTCCCCAGTTCTTCTACTTCTTCAAGTGCCAAGATTCGATGACACAGTCCTCAAAATGCTCAAATCCACACTTCTTGCAGTGAGCACTATGCTTGCTGATGCAGAGGAAAAGCAGATTACCGACTCATCGGTAAAAGAATGGGTTATGATCTTAAGACGTTGTCTACAAGCTGAGGACATTCTTTATGACATTGCCGCTCAAGGTTTGAAGTCGAATGTCGAGGCTGAATCACAGGTGAACGATGGGCAGCGCCTGGAAATTACTTCGCCTTCTGATTTTGTGTTCAGACTTGATAGGATAGCCAGGAGGCTTGAACGGTTAGCAGACCAGAAAGTTGTCCTCAGCCTGAATGAAGGTCTTGGCCGAAAGCCAGCACCTAGATCGTACACAACGTGTTTGGTAAATGAATCTTTGGTTTTTGGTAGAGATGATGATAAACAAAAGGTTGGAACTTTCTTGATTCCTGGCAGTATTGCAGGTGAGAAGGTAATCCCTGATTATAATAGTTGGGGTTGCTGGAATTGGGAAAACTACTGTGCCTCAGCTTTTGTGTAATGACAAGAATGTGAGGGAGCATTTTGATGTTTTTGCATGGGTTTATGTATCAGAAAATTTCAACATTTTCAAGATTACCAGAACAATTTTAGAGTCTTTAACTCGCTTTCATTACAGCTTCACAGATTTGAATGCACTTCAAGTTGAATTATATGAGAAGCTGGTGGGGAAGAATCTTCTACTCGTTGCAGATGATGTTTGGAACGAGAAATTTATTGACTGGGATCTATTGCGTTGGCCACTAGAAGCTGCAGACCTAGAAAGTTGAATCCTTGTGACAACATGAAGTTAAGGGGTAGCAAGGAACATGCGTGCTTTCCACATTTATTATCTTCAACCTTTATCCAACGAAGGTTGCCTGCAGGTGTTTGGAAAACATGCATTTGAAAATGGAAATCACTTGCAAAAGAAATTGTTTAAAAAAAGTGAATTGCTGGCTTACTCTTTCATCCATTGGCTCTGTTCCTTGCCTTTGGTGACCAGTTTTGATGTGCAGTACTGGCTCTTGTTTTGCAAGCTACCCTCCTGCTTCTTTGGCTTGAACATAGAGTTTACTTCAGTTTTCTAATCCTCCTTGTTCCTGATTCCTTGAAGGCCTATCTAATGTTTGGCTTTTTCATCTGCTGCTGCCATTAATCCAAGGCTTCTTTGACTCCTGACCTTTTTCTGCGCTTACCTACTGATTCTGTTATATCTTAATTTGAGGTGTTTTTTTGTTTCTTAAAATGGTTGTTTGTCTTCTACCGTGATTTGCTTCTCTAGGAGCAGGACTTTTGAGGTAAATCTGTTAAGGTTGGGTTAATCCATTAATAAAGTTAACTTTTTACCTTTTCTCAAAAAAGAACACGGACATATAATCTATGCTATGATTTGCAGGGCTGTTTCAAAGAAAAGACTGTGAAAGCTATCCACAGGATGAAGAAAGTGGAAGTAAGGTCCATAAGTAGTAATTTATTTTGTTATTAAATCAGCTTCATTATCAAAAGACAACAATTGTCTCCCTCACAACAATAAACAAAAATATTTTTGTTATCCTAATAATCATTTACATAAATAATATATTTCATAAAGAAGATAAAGTAAAATTCATTGCGCAAATAACACGAACAAAAATGCTAGTTCTTTAAAATAATAAAAGTTTAAATATAAGAATAGAATGAGACTTGAATAAGCTTGAAGCAACTGGAACATGAGTGCATGAACCGACAAAAATTTTGAAAACACTGTCACGAGGCAAATTTTCCTACGCATAATCATATGTATTACATAATTCAAATCATGAAGTTTCTCTGTAAATGACAGGATTTAAACATGCATGAAGGGACGGTCACGTAGTGTGGCGATTGGTGATGAGTGAGCCAAACTTTGGTGCTCAAGTGGTTGATCTCTTGAACATTCTAATCTGGGACATTCATGGATGTGAATTGACCGAAATGAGCTAAAGCAATTTGGTAGGCCATTCAGTTGTGGACATCTTAATAAATAAAGTTCTTCAAGGGACGGGAACCATTTACCATCTCCTTCAACTTCATGATCTTCCCAGTCTTCCCATACTGGCATGTTCTCAAACCACAAGGTAACGAGCGATTTAAATGGTGGATTCAAGGGTGAGATAGAGCCAGTTGAATAAAATTCAAGACCTATCTTTCTTAAACTCATCATATCAGAAACATGGAGTTCTTTTAGAGCAGTTAGCCGACCTAGTGAGGGCAAGGATGTGCAGTTTTGGCATTCTCTGAGGCACAGAACTGTCATTTTAGACAAGTAAGAGTCCCCTAACCATTCTGGAAACTCCCTGCCGTGGTACCTCCTTATGGTCATTTTTTCTATGCCTCCATTAGGTTGCAAGCTCTTCAGAATTTCTCTTTCCTTCTGTAAATCACGAGACTCACCGTCCCACTCAAAAACTATCTCCTTAAGATGTATCTTGTTTTCCAAATGAGCACTAGAAGCCTCATCAGCATTCTCTACATTCTGCAGCTTAAAGATTGATAATTTTCCATGGAGATTCACAAGGGACCCTAGCTCGCTGATCCTTGCCCCACTATCCTTACTCACAACGCAACTTGTAAGTTTTTGAAGGCTTTTCAGTCTGCCAAATCCGACCGGCATTTCTCTCAACTTAGTCTCGTCCAAATCAAGATATCGCAGATTAATCAGATTCGGCGTGTCTGCTGGCAATTCAGTGAGCCAATAGCAATGTGACAAGAACAGTGTCTGCAAATTATACAAACCACAAATTTGTGGGGGCAACTTGCGGATCTCAGTGTAGGAAAGATCCAAGTAGCGAACTTTTGTCAAGTATCTGAAAAAATTAGGTCCAATTGCAGTAATCTTATAATGGGACAGAGACAACACACGCAAGCAATTTAGAGTTGGCAACAGGTTTTCGGCAGTCATGTTGTCTAAGTTAGAGGACTGAGTAGAATTTGATAAGCTCAATGGTAGGAAAGTTCTTAGAGATGACACTTCATATAAGGCCTCGAATTTCATAGGCTTGTCAAAATTGTCCCTTAAATAAGAGAAATGGCGAGCTCTTTCAGGAATTTTCTGGAGCACATCCTTTTCATACTTGAAGCAAAATTCTCCAGCAGTAAATTCAGATAAGTCACTTACAAGGTCATGCATTATGAATCGTGATCCGCCCTTCGCCTGAAAGAATGATCTTATCAATAGTTCAGTGAAATACTCATCGCCAAGCTCTTCCATTGTCTTTCCACTATCATTTGGCTGTTGCAAGAAACCCTGTGCCATCCACAAGAGCACTAACTTTTCCTTCTCAAATGCGTAGCCTTTTGGGAATATTGAACAATAAGCAAAGCATTGTTTTAGGTGTGCAGGAAGGTAGAAATAACTGAGTCTTAAAGAGGGAAGTATGTTGCTCCTATCAACAGGCAGATCCCATATTTTGCTGTTCAAAATTCTTTTCCATTCTTGAACTTCAACGACAGAGTGCAGCAGACAGCCCAGTGTCTTAGCAACTAAAGGCAGGCCTTTACACTTACCAACGATTTCTTTTGCAAGTGAATGCAGCTCTCTGTTGAAATGAGCATTTTCATCTTCAAATGCATGTTTTGCAAAGACCTGCTGGCAACTTTCGTTGGATAAAGGTTGAAGATAATGAATGTGGAAAGCACACATGTTCCTTGCTACCCCTTGATTTCGTGTTGTCACAAGGATTCGACTTGCTGGATCTGCAGCTTCCAGTGGCCGACGCAATAGATCCCAGTCAATAAATTTCTCATTCCAAACATCATCTGCAACGAGTAAAAGTTTCTTCCCTACCAGCTGTTCATTTAATTCAACTTGAAGTGAATTCAAATCTGTGAAACTGTAATGCGAGCGAATTACAGACTCTAAAATTGTTCTGGTAATCTTGAAAATGTTGAAATTTTCGGATACATAAACCCATACTAAAACATCAAAATGCTCTCTCACATTCTTGTCATTATACAAAAGCTGAGCCAAAGTAGTTTTCCCAATTCCAGCAACCCCAACTATTGCAATCACAGGGATTACCTTCTCATCTGCAGCACTGCTAGGAAGCAAGAATGTTCCAACCTTTTGTTTATCATCATCTCTACCAAAAACCAAAGATTCATTCACCAAAGATGTTGTGGGGAATCTG